CTCTCAGGGTCCTCAAAGGGCATCGAAGCCCCTCTCTCTTCCAGTTATAAAAGTTGCGATTGTTTCTGGGGGAGCAAAGTCTTCCCTGAACACAAGTTATCAGCACATGCTGAAAGCCTCTGCGTCACAGACAAGCACAATGGATCGGCCATTCTGCATATCTCACCCCTACTGCGACATGTGCTCCTGCCAATTTTGGAATAGTGCTTCCCTCTCCCCTGCTCCCTCGGTGCCCTGTCCTGGAGCCGACATCGCTCTAAATTATATTTTCTTAAAGACTTGAGATTCAGAATCATTCCTGACCTCAAGCAGTGCAGGACTTCACTGCAGAACATCCTGGTGTTTCAAGCTATAAAGGTAAAATTGTTTCCATTCATGTCATTACAAAGCCCACAATGATGAACTTATGCTGAACCAGTCAGTACGTATATAATGTGAGGATCATAACCAGCCGACAACTTTAACAGGCTATCCAGACAAAGAGGGAGAAGAATGATTGTTGCTTCTGTTTTACAGATCAGTACAAAAATATGGCAAGGCTAAAAACTTTCCCTGAAGTCATTCAAGAAGTATCTCTCAGAGCCGGGACCAGAGTGAGTCTGTCACACAGGAGTGGTGTTCAGCTCTAGGACTGTCCCTTGGACCTTGTCTGTTGATGCAGTCTGACGTGCCCTCTCTGCTCCAGGGCTCAGCTCTCCACCGCACCCCACGGTGCAGTGGAAAGCAGGAGACAAAGAGAAGCGGGTACCACTCCCTAAACCTCCCTTCTGAGGAGCTGACCATTTCGTGGGGAATACACTGTGACTACTGCCCCCCTTTTCCCATGTTACTTGTTTGCCCTCAGTCTCTTGCTACCTCTGCCACTTCTGCTGAGGCAGATGTTCTCCCCATCCCTTCTCTAACTTGTGGAGCATTTTCCCTATGGCTTAAGATCCCTTTTGCAAGAAGCTCCCAAGTGCACTCTTGTTTTTGGCTGCATCTCTAGGCAATGGAGGAAAGAAGACACTTCATATGAACAGGTCTGAATCCCCTCTCTCAGAGGAGCTGCCTTTCTCCTGAGGCTTAAGGGAATCCAGGACTGCCTAAGTGGCCACAGCTGGATGCTCTGCATTCCCATCCCCACCTTCCTGTCCCTTGTGCGGAGTAAGCCCCAAAGGCTACACACAAACATAAAAATGATGTTGAAAAGAGGCATAAAGGACACCTACGCCAGTTGTCCCTGGGCTCCTTTCTTTGAACACTTCACGAGTGTTTTACTCCAATAGTCAAAGACCCATGAGAAGCAGACAATTAATTTATGACTATGACAAGATTATTATGGTTAATTTAACATGTGCAGGCACTTAACTAACTGCTGTTGAGAAATATTTGTCGTTAAATCAAAAATTTCCTGCCTCCAATTTGGCAGATATCATATAAGTAAGCTGCAGAAATCCAGCGTGACATAAAGAGCTCTCACCTGCCATCACCTTTACACAATCTTGAACTCTGCCTGATTCAAATGAGCACAGCCAAAGGTGCAGCAGCATTCATAAATTAAATGACACTGGCATTCAGATACTGGAAAACCTAACTTAAGAGCATGCTCTCCCAGGCACAGGAGCAGGAGCAGAGAGGCGCACAGCCTCCCTCTGAAGAGGGAAAGGGATACCATTTGGTAAGAGGGTGGCAGAACAGCATTCGTAATAAAAGCTCAGAAAGCAAAGCTGCACAAGTAGAAGCTGCTTGTGGGCTTTGCTCCTACCTTCTGTTACATCTGCCATGATGCCAGCCAACTCGCACAGTACAAAGTAAATCCATTTAAGTACCTTATTCAAGGAGAGCTTGTATCTCAGGCATTGCACAGTGCTCCAGGATCACCATATCCCCCTGTCCTGGCCACTGCTGGCTAGGGAACTTCCCCTGTAGATCTGCCAGGTTTGACTTGTTCTCTCAGGATGGCAGGGGAAAAATCTCTATGTACAAACCTAGTCGCAGCAACAAATCAAAACCCATTTCCAAACGATCTCATGGCCTCTTTGAAGGATCCAAGCATTGCTTGGGTTTTCCTGATTACTTTCACAGGTCCAAAATCACAGAAGGGAAGGCTGGAACAGCCACGAGGTCAGCATTCACGGAGGCTGCCTTCCTCCTGTCCAGTGTCCTACATATGTCAGTCATAAACTGTTTTACCCACAAATGCACTTTAGCTTTCCGTTTTTACAAGACCTGTCACTATCAGACGCATCCCATCTAATTAGCCGCTTTCCACTGCAGGGGCTCCATACATTGTCTTACCTTCTTCAGTTCTCTCACGAACTGTGTATGCTTTGGTATACTTAAATCTTTGAATTTTACATAGGTGGGACTTCCTGAGCCACTCAATCCCCTATCATTTCTGGCAAATACTTCACATAATCCTTCCACAGGCTGATTAAACTCTGTTTTGAGAACAACTCCATTTTTCCGCACTCCTTCGACTGAACGGCTCTCCTAGAACTTTGTAGTCCTGACGGTTAGAAATTTCCAGATTAAATGGCCAGTCTATACCTATTTATTTTTGCTGAAGCACCATCTTTTTGTTGAAGCAGCTTTTCTCTCTTGCAGGTTTATTTAGAGAAGATAGCTATCTCCCATTTCAGCCTTCATCCGCTAAGCCAAACAAGCCAAGGCACTTTAATTTCCTCCCACAGAGAAGCTCTCCTTCCCCTGACCATCTTACTAACCCTTCTCCACACTGTCCCACTCTGAGCTCATCTTTTCTGGGAGGTAGATGCCCAGAAATGTACATTGTATGCCAGGTGGCCTTTACAGCTAGATGATGCAGAGGTCACGTTTGATTTTAAGCTCTCTAACTCCGAGTTAGACTTGCACAGGTCGGTACACAGGCATCAGTGAAGAAAGCACTCACCTTCCACCTCTACCCCGTTCTGTGTTTCTGAGTCCAAGGATATTTCCGAAGGGGACCGTTTGCTATCAGGAAATACCATTCCATGCCAGGCCTGTGTTCCAAAAATCTCCCTAAACTTGCGTCTTTCACACATCCAAACACCAGATTTCTGATGTGCCCCCTAAGGGCCAGCATACGCTCTCACGGCTGGACTCTCAAGCATCTGGCCCTCTGCATATTTGCAGAATGCCTCCAATGTAAGCGTAAGAGGAGAATATTTACCATTTTACATGCAGCTGGCAAATGTACTAACTCAAGCTTGAGGAACATCTGACTCTGTTTGCCTAGGGGCCTTTTAACATTTCTTCAGACATTTTATACTCTATTTGTGAGTCATGTCAATATGCAGGGAATGAAATGTCTAGCAGAGTCCCCAGCTCTGACAGAAGACTATTCCTAAGAAGACACTACAAGGCTCTGTGAACAAAGAAAAGCAAGGAGAGCTGGACAACTTAATCTCTTGGGTCCCACGCTATCCTATGAGGGTGCTGCTTTACTCAGACAGCTAGATCAAAGTAACTGAAGAGGTTTCTGCTGTTAACTGTCTCCCGAAAGTTGTCGCCCTTGAGACAAGAACAATTAAATGAAACGTGAAGCACCTCCTCAGACAGTTCTCCTCCTCTGTCCTACACCACGTAAACGCTCAGCAGGGTGAAGTTACGCACTTAGCATATCCTTCTGTAATAAAGAACATCCTGCCTGCCAAAAGATCTTTCCCTGGTAAAGATTTTTTCTTTCTTCTTAAATAGACGCATACGCTGTGGGTCCTAGGAACGCTTGTATGAGCTCTTCCATATGTATTACACAGACAAAAAGCTTGGGATCCCAAATTAAACGCGCACGCTTTGAAAAGCGGCCACTGGATCAGGTATGCAATTTGAGACTCTGGGAATTGTTTTTCTGAATACTAAGAGTGGAAAATATCAATTGAAACTGCACTTACTCAGTCTCTCTGAAGAAATCAGGTCCTGAATGCCTTTGAGTCAGCACTCAAATTACGCAGCTTCATATTAGAGATAATTTAAAAATATGACTTAAAAAGCGTCTTGTCTTTTACATCTCTATTCAGAACACACCACTACAAACTCCCATGCAAAAACCCTACAAATACTCTTGTAGCATATCTGTCCTAAAGATATTCAGCCAGATCTTTAGCTGATGTCCCTCGGCAGGCCTCTGCTGGAGCTAATGGGAGCGGTGCCAAATCATACTGCTGAAAAGCTGGAACATACTGTTAACGGACTTCTGAAAAAAAGCAAATTAAGTAGCTTGTACACACCTGGAGACGTTCATTTCCACATTCTTGAAAATATGAAAACTGTTTTTTTCTGTAGGAAATGATCCTTGAGAAACTGTCAAGCCACTTCTGTACAAGCATTTGAATATACATATGACAACACGCTGGTGTACATACCATGATCTCTGGCATTTATGAAGAAAGAAAGGAGACTATAGCACAATTTTTTTTGTTCTGATTTTTTTTTAGAACAGCCCATTGCTTTAATTTTTACATGCGTCAAAGGGTTTCTACTTGTAATCTGTCAAAGTAGAAACAAAAAGCGGTAACAAATCCTTTTGTGTTAAAAACCACAGGCAATGATTGCCAGCCTCTGCAAACAATACCTAGTTAGAGGAACTTGCTGCTTTCCATTTTGTAAACATGCTACAAGGAGCCAGCTGCAGTGAGCGCGTGGCAACCAATAACTCGTGATCACTTAAGGATTTTTCATTAGCAAATTCTACCATAAATTAACCAGAGTAGTTTAAAGGTTGTTTTCAGCACTTTTTATAAGCAGAAGCAACAAGGAACTAGGGAAGCCAGTTCATCTTTCCACTTAACTTTTCTACTTACCATCTGATGAAAGTTTAATAAGTACAAAGACAGGTCAACACTTGCACAGTTGAATGTTGTGCATCTGTGTAACCAAGGAACACATTACACCTGTAGGAAATTAACCTTTAAAGCAACTCAAACACGAACTTTCTTCAGCTGCTTACCTGAGTACGTTTCTGTTTTGTCAGATTCAATGCAATACAAAAGGCAACTGGTGTTTCAAAGAGAATCTCTCACCGTGCCAAACGTTTAAGCAGTAACAACAACAGCAGAGAGACTTCCAAGTTTGCATGGAGGTTTCTGCAAAGTCTCAGTTCGGTTCGCCTTGGACAACGCACCCTACATCTCATCAATTATCCAACACCGGACTAGGCTATGCTTTCCCCAAAGCGTGAGTTATTAACACTGCCCTGATCCCTTCACCAAACGATCCCTCTATCTAACGCCGAGCGAGTCAGCCAAAGGAGAAAGCACCACTGTCCCGAGTTGCTAGGAAACAAGCAGGGAGTTCCTGACCTGAATTCCTAGCGGAGGCTGATGTTGCTCAGGAAGCTTAGGCTCTTCTCTGGAAAGAGACGCACACAGAGCGTCTCCAGCCCAAAAAGTTTCTAAAAGCTACCACGTAACACCACCCAGGACAAAGGGACAGCAGTCCAACTCCTTTTACAACAAAAAGGCACCTGTCATGAAAACAGCAAACTCAGGTGCAAGAATCCAAGGTGAGTTTTCTACTCTGCATGGCAGACAAGCTAGAGCATTTTTATCCTTAAAATAAGATCTTTGTATTTCACCAATCAAATGTTGTCATTATGCTAAATAGAAGAAACCATCCACCGCTCACAGCCTGAACACTAAGAAATGCAATGACAGAACATTAAACATACCAAAATTGAGAAAATAAAGTTATCCCAGCTAAACAAATGGGCTTAAAGACCCCTCACTGCTGCATATGCTAAAAAGCCAATACTCTAAAGCCAAACTCTTAACAGAAAACTGAACAGAAGCAAATCAGGTGAGTTAAATGATAACACAGAACTTCGCACTTTCTGACTTTTACTGCCACATCACAATATTTAGCTTGTAACCTTCTCAGTATGCATTTTCTAACAGATGAAAAATAAGAGCTGAATTAGACCTGAAGAGCTAAAGAATCTCTAGCTCCCTTGGATGAGATATAACTGAGCCTAATAGCCCTTTATAGTAAAAGGAGAGAAATAATCACTTCTTAGGCACAACTCATTACAGTCTAATGTAAAAGTCTCATACAGAACAGATTAACTGTATCTGAAAAAATGCCTATTTGCTTCCTACTAACTCTGAAGGGAGCCCGTGCTGACCAGCACTGTAGATACAAACAGAGGCACAAGAGTAATCCTATCCCTTATGTCAAGATGCATCATCATCGTTTTGGGAAAAAAAAAAAACAGTGAAGGGCAAACATCAATACTGTGTTCCTTAAGGTTTCCAGCCAAGGCCCAATCCAGAGCCATTCACCTGGCCCTGGCTTTTACATTCACAGGCACGTAAAGTAAGGAGGGTACAGAGGAACGGCCATTCTCTAAGCAGCAAAGGAGAGAACACGCCAGATACAGTTATTTCCCCCAAAGGGTGGAAGTGCGTCCCAGGGACCCGAGAGGGTGGGAAAGGGGCAGGGGCTTGGTGCAGAAGCAATTTCTTTGATTCCAGCCAAATGCTTCCCCATCCCGTCTCGCCATATTCCCATACATGAGTGGCTCCCTCCTTTCTCAGGAGACCTGTGCCAGTCCAGACCAGGAAAGGCAACAGCCAGGGATATCTGCGAAGACCCATCGCCCAGCAAGGGCTGTAGTTCCAATATCATCTTTGTAGAGCATATTCTCTTCCTAAGAGATTTCTAACAGGTATTTCATCTAGCCACCACACGGGCAGAAGCTCTTTTAAAGAGGGGACTGAGGCACAGGAAGACTGGCTGGCATAGCACATCTAGAGAAGTCCAGCTACAACCTTAAAATGGAATTACTCTACAACTTACGATAGCTTTTTATGTATTAAAAACAACAACCAATAGCTTCAGTTGAAGACATATGAACATAAGTGCCTTTGCAGAAATGGCAGGCCATCTGAACTGTGCGATGGCACACCTTACGTTTACTGCAAAAGTGCGCGGTATACTCCAAAAATGGCTCCCTAGACATTATTATATACAGCCCGCTTCAGTAGCCCAACAAAACTGTGTTCAGCACAGGCACAGGGTAAGGCAACAATTTCTTAGCTATGATTGAAATCTCTCCCTCTCCATACAATTCTGTATTTACCTGGGGAATCAGTCTATCCCTGCAGTAATCAAAACAGCCTAGAAGCTGTTAAGTATTACAATGCTTAAAGTACCTTTCTGAAGAAGGGCCAAAGTCCATAATGTTGACAGGAAAACTAAAAGTTTTTTTTGTTCTCCTCTTCTTTCATCTTCTTGCAGAAAGAGGAAGAGCTCAATGTTGAGTCCTATCCCAACAGCACTTAAATTTCCAAACAAGATAGTTATGGATATCATGACCCAGGGAGCAGCAAAATTGAATTAAGCCAGGTTTTAAAGGTGTCACAATAAAAAAAAAAAAACTGGTAAAGATAACCAAACAGCATTTGGAGGAAGGAAACTGCAAAAATTTAAGATGTTAAGTATATACTTATCTGCTATTAAAGAAAAGCTGATCACATAATAGAATGCAGAATGTAAGTCAGAAATCACAGCTCTGTGCGGTGCAACTGTATTTGAAGTAGTACAGGTATTCTGAAACAATTTTTATGATACCACATCTAAAGATACCACAATCAGAAGGCAGAACGATGCAGAGAACCTACTCATAGAAATATCTATATTTTAGATAGTACTGTATTCATTATTTTTTTTAAACTGTAGATTCTTTTTTTGCAATTGAAATTGAGTGGACATCACTTCAGTTCATTTTTTCATACAAACTCTCCCAAATGGTCTTAACGTTCAGTAATGCAACAAGCTGATACTAAATAGCAGAAATTAAAGAAAACAGAAGACCTGGCAAAAAGAAAAGTGTGGCAAATACAAGCACTCAATGAGGGCATTAGTAGAGGCAAAGAAAAATTTAAAGGCACAAGTATGGGGCACAAGCGGAGAGCTACTGAGCCTGAAAGAGAGCAGGAAAGGGAAGCTCTTTCAAGGGACAAGAATTTCAGATGTGAAAGAGACTAGTGAAAGAGACACTGCAGCAGTGGCCTCGACTGTAAAAAAAATAATGTGCAAGAGTACAAGGTGCTAACAGAGCAGAATATTAAAAAAGAAAGGGACAGAGACAGTGAAGCAAGGGGAAGAATACTTTTGATTCGTCTGTACACAGACTGAAGGGCATTTACCAGGACTGTTATGTGGATAGAGAGCCAAGGGAGATATTTGGTGCTGAAGGCAATGCTTCAGGTAGGTGCCAGGACCCAGTAACCTCCTGGCCAGAGATGAACAAATAGCTCCGTCAGTGACCTGAAGCTGTTGGCAACTTGCCAATTATGGTGTGGCCATTAATTTTTTTTTAAGGTATCTCAAGCATTACCACAATTGTGTGAAGATTCATAGGAAATTTTAAATTTTTCTCCACTAGGCGGAAGAAGGGTAGGAGCGGTATATGGAACAGAGTGATAACAGGCAATAAAACCACGAGAAGCGCCAGATAATAAAGCGCTTTTATACAGGAGCTAGCAAAAGGGTATAGACAGGAGCAAGGCTACTGGAAATGCTGATTCAGGTGACAGCCCAGATTTGTCACTTTTCCTCCCTCTTAACATTTCTTGTGTTCACGTCTCAAACAAAAAGAACCGGTGAGTAGTAGCAATGGATTGGGGTGGGGTACAGAAAAGCCATTCTATATTGTTAAAAATAACCTGGCATAAACTCCCCTGGCCACATTTTATGCCAGCTGAAGATCTGGCCACATATACACTGAATAACTCTAAGAAAAAGGAAGCAGTTCCTCACTTTGCCTGCCTTCATAAAACCACCTTTAAAACAGTACTCAGCAGGTTTCAGGAAGATGTGTGTCTATTCCGGGGGAAGATACTTAATGAAGAATTTAATCTTACTGATGAATACAGAAGGAGTAAAAAGTACTAAACCCATCAAACACATCTTGTAACAAAATATGTTTTTAAAAAACTGCTTTAGTCAGATATGTATTTTTAAGGCCATGTAAAACAGACTCTTTAAAATGGCCTGACTTTTAACATCTGAAAATCAAAATCTGCTGTCCAAACGTCTCTGCAAAGGTATAGTTTGGCAGTAATTGAGATATTACATAATCCAGTCACATCTCAGCATACATCAGTAATACAGTACTGAGAAGTCTCCTGGTTGTTCAGACCCAGAGCGGGCCATGTGAAGCACTGATTCACGCTGATGAATTGTAACCAAGCAACACTGCCAGCTTCACTCCAGTCTATTGTTAATCTGAGCCGAGGAGAATAGCAGCTCTTGGTCATCAGGAGAACAGCGCTGGAAATCTGCCAGACTCGGAGTACCCTAATTAAAGGATGCCATCACTCTAACGCTAGATATAGTAAGTCTTTATCTGAAATTTAATAGAAATAAACTCTTATTTCCCTCTCAATAAAAAAGATAATGACGTGCCTGAAGGCAGCGAATAAATTCCTGTTTGCCCATGACTGTCTTGTAAATAATCTTTACAAGAGAAGTAGTTCAAATTTAGTTAACACAAAAACTGCAGGGTAATGAATTATTCATCTGAGCAGAGGGACAGAAATACTGTCTTTTTGTTAGTCTGGTCACTAGATGTTAAGGGAAAATAAAGACAACTGGACTTTCTCAGAGCCTTCTGACAACATAACTAATCAGTAATAACACAGACGAGACAGAGATGAAGTAGGTACTTGAAAAATTCTTTAAGTGAGAGTTGGCAACCATTTTCTATGCAAGTAGAAACTGCTATTAGTTAATACACAGAATACAACCATTATTTCATGTACATGAAGCTTACTTGCAACAAGGGCATTAAAAACTGACATTACAATACCGAACCTTATTTTATTGCAACAGAAGTCTGAGTGATGGTACGATTTGTCCTGCTTAATGCCACAGGCTTGGACATCAAGATCAAAAGTCACTGTAAAACGATCCATTGTTGCTCCTGATGGGACTAAGAAGAAGATACAGTCTGCCAATGAAACTCTCACTTACTAGAGAACCTGAATGTTCAAAGTATGCCACAATCCCAGCATTTTACCAACAAAAAAAAATATAAAGCTCATGTATTAGTTAAGAATAAGATGCAGAATTGACTATTTTCACAACGTAAAAGACAGGCCAGCAGCTATATGCGTTTCTCCAGTTATAAAAAGCAAAGGACTGACCTGTACCTGTACCTGCGAGACTTCTGGGCTCTGAAACCACACTCCCCGAAAACAAGTT